TGCTGGGATTATAGGTGTGAGCCACTGTGCCCAGCCAAGATCATTTGATTTTTAAAAATTCATTTTTTCAGGTTAAATGTTGTGGTTAAAAAAATCTGAAATATGCTTGCTATAGAGAAAAAAAAAAAATCACACAATAGCTAGCTTCTTTTTGAAAGTAAAGTAATAAAAGTGATAACTGAATACAGGCTCACTAAACAGAAGTAAAGGAGACAAGAAAAAGTCTGAAAAAAAGGCAAAGAAGAAAGAAGAGCTAAGAAGTAGAAACATACTTTTGGGACAGAATCTAACTAATCTCCATTTCTATTTTTTCCCATTTTGTAACTAACAAGAATTTGATTTTTTCAAATGCCTTGGTTTGGTGATAGTGGTGTCGGGGAGGGGTTATGGTGTAAAAGCAAATATCAAGTAGACTCTTTTTGGTTAGCAGCATATTCACAATACGGTCACGATGCTACAGAGGTCAACAAGGAGAGTTCATACTCCTGAGGCTCTAAGTCTAGTGTTTGCCACTGGCAGAGAGGAGAGGTTGTTTGCGGGTATGTATGCAGGCCAAGAAGGAAGTTTCTGTAGTGAATCTGAAGGGTAGAAGGTGAGGGCACACATAAGAGAGTTTCAAATAGGGCTTTTTTTTTTTTTTTTTTTTTGAGACAGAGTCTCGCTCTGTCGCCCAGGCTGGCGTGCAGTGGCCGGATCTCAGCTCACTGCAAGCTCCGCCTCCCGGGTTTACGCCATTCTCCTGCCTCAGCCTCCCGAGGCTATAGCTGGGACTACAGGCGCCCGCCACCTCGCCTGGCTAGTTTTTTTTATGTTTTTTAGTAGAGACGGGTTTTCACCGTGTTAGGCAGGATGGTCTCGATCTCCTGACCTTGTGATCTGCCCGTCTCGGCCTCAAATAGGGCTGTTTACATGAGGAAGAGGTGGTAAAGGTGATGACAGGCTGTATCTCACATAGGAGTGCTCTATGGCTTAAAAAGTGTGTTTTGCGAGGCCTCAGGAGTTTTAAAAAAAAAAAAAAAAAAAAAAGGATCTCAAGGCTGGCCTCTAGCTCAGGGCACAGTTATTATAGACTAGGAGTTAAGTGCAGTGAAGATGATAAGGCATAAGTGAATGAACTATTTCCTGGTCCTGATTTAGGGCTCTCTAAAGTTAAGAGACACTGGCCAGGCTTTATATCCAGATATGACCCAAGTTCAGCTTCATCGTCAGAGCTATCTTATGAGGCAGGTTATTCTTACTCCTAATTTTACGAGTGATGAAACAGGCAAAGTCTCTCACCTAAGAGATAAGAATTGTAAGGCTGTGATGATACCAAACATTTAAGTGCCTACTACTATTTACCCTTTACAGGTACTAGGTACTGTGCCCTTTACCGTCCCTCTTTCTCCTCTCCCTCCCCACAGAATCCTGCTCCTCACCACTCTTTGGGAAAGGCTGGGTCTCCTTAGTCTGGAGCCGGATGCTCAGTGCTTCCTGGGCTGCTCCCAGAGATTCCTTCTTCTCCCATGGCTCTTCCTGTGCAGGTCCATGTGCAGGGCCTGGGACCTGGAGGTGATCAGGCACCACTCAGTTTTAAATTTTCTTCAAATTACTAGTGTGGTTTCTGTCCCCTGCCTGGACACTTGCAGATGTGACTCTCCTTGTACCAAAGCTTCCAAGAAGACTTTAGAGAGCCTCCTCGGAGTCAGCACAAGGGAAGGAAAAGGAGCTAGAGTCTCTTTCTCATTCAGGGCGGAAAAGACAGACACAGAAACACACATTAACTGCTCTACCTGGCCCAAGAGAGGTTTGACCTTGGCAACTCCCCCTACTGCTGCCCCTCTGTCCAGCCTGAAGGTCATTGATCTGGCTCCCATAACAGACCAAATCCCCCTTCCCACCTGCGGTTCTGGTTCAAGTCCTTTCTCTAAATCCTCCAGCACAGTCACAGCCTCCTCTCCACTGTTAGGGTGATGTCCCCGCACCCACGACTGGAGCTCCTCAGGCAGGATGGTCAAGAATTGTTCCAGCACCAGGAACTCCAGGATCTGCTCCTTCGTGTGTTTCTCTGGCCTTAGCCACTCACAGCAGAGTACCCGTAGCTGGCTCAAGGCCTCCCGGGGACCAGGAGTCTCCTGGTAGCGGAGATGCCTGAAGCGTTGGCGGAAGATCTCTTGACTGGTAGAGTGGTTCCCAGGTAGCCTGGTCTCATACTCACAAGACTGTTCCTCTTCCTTTGGTTCCATCATCATAATCTTCTCTTGTCCCCGTGTACACTGAAGGGCCAGAGTTTCAGCTGCTGTTAGTGATACAGCCGTTCTAGTCTGAACTAGCTCTGCAGAAGGCTCATACCAGCTGGAATATTGCAAGGGCCCCCTGTAACATAAGAAGAAATCATTCCTCCTCTTCTTTTTTTTGAGACAGAGTCTCACTCTGTTACCCAGGCTGGAGTGCAGTGGCACGATCTCAGCTCACTGCAACCTCCACCCCCAGGGTTCTAGAGATTCTCCTACCTCAGCCTCCCGAGTAGCTGGCATGACAGGCGCCCACCACCACGCCCAGCTAATTTTTTTGTATTTTTAGTAGGGACAGGGTTTTGCCATATTGGCCAGGCTGGTCTTGAACTCCTGACCTCAGGTGATCCACCCGCCTCGGCCTCCCAAAGTGGTAATTACAGGCATGAGTCACCATGCCTGGCCTCTTCTTTTTTTGATTCATTAAACATATACTCAGCACTACAAAGAGCCAAACTCTGTACTATATATACCCCTTAGTCCGGCTTTTTCTTCCACCCCTCCCGAGAATTCTGATGTACTAAGTCAATGCTTTTGAGAAACTTGCCTTGTTGTAGAGACGGGAATGTAAAGTGGTTTTCTACAATACAACTAAATAAATGCCATTAACAGGAAAAAATATCAAGGAAAAAAAAGTTGTGGGGGCCTATGGGAAGAAATGATTATTGGGAAGAAACAAGTTTGAAGCAAAACCCAACTTTCCAGATGCAGAGCCCAGAGCCCAGCAGCTTTCACTGCAAGGTGGGGTTTGCTGGGGAGACTCCTCCCTGCTTTCAAAACTTTCTGAAGTAGCAGTTTCAGCAAAAGAAAAACGTTAAGTCCCCTCTACGGAGTTGGATCTCATTCAAACGCAGAAGCCCTATTAAGGGGCAGCTATGAACAAAACTCGGGTACAGTGACCTGGGTCAAGGAATCTAACAGGTGTAAACCACAAAAGCATCTGAGATAGGTCTCAACCAATTTAGGGGTTACTTTGCTAAGGTTGAGGATGCACCCAGGAAAAAGACACACAAGCCACAGTAAGATCCGTGGCCCGCACTTTTACCACCGAGGGTTTTGAGGGCTTCAATTTAATGGGGAGAAAGCTGGCAAAGGAGGGGAAGGAGTAAAGAAGAGGGGGGGTATGTAGTGAGGTAAGTGGCCACATTCTTGTGAGGATTTGATTAGAGCTGAGTTCACCTGTTGCACGTGAAAAGAGGAAGTCAATTATGAATTTGTCTGGTGCTCAGTACATCTGCATTTTCCACAAGATAAAGTAGATCTAGAGTAGAGGAAGAAGTCAAATAGCTTCGTCTCCGGGTGGGTGGACGAAGCATTTCTAGTCTTGTCCGGTGAAGTTGGGCTGTTCATTTACATTGCCAGGGTGAGGGAGGCCACCTGGGGGCATATGTTGCTTTCTATCTTGCAGCTATCGGTTTAGGAACAAAAGGAAAAGCAGTTTTTTTTTCGTGACTCAGTTTCCAAGCTTAACTTTTCCCTTTGGCAGAGTAAGTTTGGGGTCCTGAGATTTTATTTTCCTTTCACCACAGGGAAGGAGGTGGGACGCATCAGAGGCCACGAAAGGAGCACAAAGAGGGACCGCTGGCCGAAGACAAAGGAGGCGCGAAGAAAAACGCGAAGCTCGTGTCTCCCACGGTGATGCCCGGCGGCGCTGGCCCCAGGAAAACTTCTCTACCCTGGCCTGGGCAGAGGCAGGTGCCCGCCAGGGAGCGCGGGAAGGAGGCCGTCGTCCAGGCCAGGTAGAACTCCCCCTCCCACCCTTCACTCCCTACCCAGGGGTCTCGAGAAAAGATTAGAGGGACATCAAGACCCCCCTCCACGGCACGTGACGCAACGCGGGCAGCGCAGCGCGGGCACCGTGGGCAACCCAAACCCCTCTCCACACACGCCCGCGGAGCTGCCTGCCAGGCCCGCTCAATGCACAGCCGGCGCTGCCTGCGGGACGGGCAAAAGCCAAGCCGCGAGGTGGACCTCCGGGAAGCCGCCGCCAACACTCACCTCACAGGACCAGGAGGTTCCATCGGGTCGCTGCCGCGAACCGCGCCACTTCCAGCCCTCACCCCCAGCTGCAGGTTTGCGCCTGCGCAGGTCGCAGCCTCGGCCTCCATCTCCCAGAAGCCTCCGCGCCGCCGGCTTCCGCTCGCCGACTTCGGCCCAGGCGCGTGGGCGCTGTCGAGAGGCTGGGAGCCCGGGAACCGGTTCCCGTACTTGAGCGGAGCGGGAAAGAGCGCGCCGCCTGCACGACTGGAATGTCGCGGCCGGATGCCCTGGAGGCCCCTGGGAATTGCAGTCCTTGCTCAGGTGGGGAGCGAGCCCTGTAAGCGGGTGACTTCACCAAGTTTGGCGGGTCTCTTGGAGTTGTACCTGAAAGGGCGGTGCTGGCGGACGGATGTCAGGGAAATTAGGGCCTTGTACATGGTCTGTGGTAACACTTCTCCAGGAGTTCTAATTTCCAGTTACCACTTCCCAGACCTGATGAGAGGGTCACAGCTGAGGAAGACGGTCCCTTCCACGAAAAAAATATTCCCGAACCACTGGCCGGGTACGGGGAGGGGAGGAGAAAAAAGAATTTTAAGGTTGATTTTATTCCGATGGGGGAAATAGGAGTTGGTGTTTTTTTGTTTATTTTTAATTTAAAAAAAAATTTTTTTTTTTCTGAGACGCGGTGGCCAACATGGTGAAACCCTGTCTCTATTAAAAATACAAAAAGGTTAGCCCGGCGTGGTGGCAGGCGACTGTAGTCCCCACTACTCAGGAGACAGGAGAATCGTTTGAACCCGGGAAGCAGAGGTTGCAATGAGCTGAGATCGTGCCACTGCACTCCAGCCTGGGCTATAGACCGAGACTCCGTCATAAAAAAAAAAACAAAAAAAAAACTAATTAAAAATAAATTTATCTCACTATGAAATTTGCAGGATATTGATGATCCAGTCTCTCAATGCTTTTATAAAATAGTTTTTCTCTCAATACTTTTATAAAATAGCTTAATCCTAGTCTCTCCAGGAAAAATTGTTATTCAGCTGTGTAGTTCTCAGATTATTAAATTTGTTTCTCCAAGATATAGTATCCTTGAAAATGTGCATAACACCCCCCGCTCCAAATCCTTGCAATTTACTTATACTGGGCCAAGCCCATTCTGACATCAAGTAGGATCAGGAAGTGCAGAATCTTGTAATCCTCAAGGTCATGGTTGGGGGATATATTATCTTTTTTCCTTCAAAGTGCCATTGATAATTACTGCACGTAGGAGCTATGGATAAAATTAGTTATCATTTGTTGAATGTCTACTGTGTGTCTAGAGCTATGCTAGGAACTTAATGAAATTGTCTCATTTAGTCTTCACAGTTGCCCCACAAGGGACTGTATTAATGTCATTATCTTGATTTTACAGATGAGAAAAATCAAAACTCAGAAGCAATAAAAGTTACAGAGATGAAATTGACAGAGCCTGGATTTCGGTATGTCAGACTTCAATGTGCTGTTATACTTTCAAATCCTACAGAATAGATTGAATCACAACTTCTACTTTTATGTGAAAGAAGACAATGGGTCTTACGACTTACCATCAATTTCCCTTTCCTGATTTAATTAGCTGCTTCTGTGTCTAATTTTGCTAGGAATGGGGGAATAACGCAAACTCCCTAAACTACATATTGACATTTATACTAATGTGAAAACCTCAAGTCCATTTGCAGACTTTTGGATTAGATTCTGTCCCAGAAAGACATCCACCCTAGAGTTCAGGATATCATAGCCATTTTACCGTTCCCCTGGCACAATTCATAGTAAGGAAAAAAAGACAAGGGGAAAGCTATTAGATTCCCAGTGCTGCTAAACAGGAGACACAAGGACACCATTTTGTGATGATGATGGTGCTTTATGCAGCTTCCACCATTTACAAGATTTTCCTGTGGTGTGGAACCTCTGACGATAAAGGGGTGAAATGGAACTAGAAGCTTATTCCAGTCAAGATTTCTGATTTATCTTGTGGTAAGCATTTGGGGAGGACATATCTGCACATGACCTGAGACTAAGTAGTATACACTGAATCAGACGAAAATTAGGTCTTAGGAAGCTTAGAATTTTCCAAGCAGTTATGACAAAAACAAACTCTCCTCTCTTCCTGTATGTACATACTGACATCTTTATCATTACTGTCTTCCTAGGGTTATGATTCTGTTTGGTTTCTTTGATGCTGTATTAGACCTGAGCTCTGATTGAAAATTCTTCCATGCTCGCTACATTCCAAAACTTTATCTCCACTATGAATTTCCAGATGCCTCACAAGGTCTAAGCTCCATCTGAAGGCTTTCCCATGCTTGTCACATTCACAGGGCTTTCCTCCACTATGAATTCTATGATGTTGAATAAGGTGTGAGCTCTGATTACAAGTCTTTGAACATTCGTTGCATTCATAAAGTTTCCACTGTGAATTCTTTGATGCTGAATAAATTGTGAGTTACCCCTCAAATCTTTCCCACACCCACTGCATTTATAAGACCTCTCACCTGTATGGATTCTCTGATGTTCTATAAGGACTAAGTTCTGACCATGTGCAGTGGCTGACGCCTGTAATCCAAGCACTTTGAGAAGCCGAGGCCGGTGGATCACCTGAGGTCAGGAATTCAAGACCAGCCTGGCCAACATGGTGAAACCTTCTCTCTACTAAGAATACAAAATTAGCCTGGTGTGGTGGTGGGCACCTGTAATCCCAGCTACTTGGGAGGCTGAGGCAGGAGAATCACTTTAACCCGGGAGGTGGAAGTTACAGTGAGCTGAGATTGCGCCACTGCACTCTGGCCTGGGCAACAGAGCAAGACTCCATCTCCAAAAACACACACACGCAAAACCCAAAACGGAACAGATGCAGAAAAAATTCCAGAGGGATTTATTTGTGATGCCTGTTCAAAACTCAAGAAGCCACCACCCTGATACTCATCAAACCCTGGAGAAATTCCGTTTCTGGAGTGTCAGAAGGCCTCATGAATAACCTTCCATTCACTGAAGGAGGTCCTTACTCAGCAGCCCCGGTCTCCTTCACTCTCCTGCACTCGTGCCTTGCAGATGGCCTCATGCGCGGACTGGCGGTCCAGCCTGCCAGGGGCAGGGCCTGGGCGCACCCCGCGCCGCCTTTGACCACTGAGGCCCGGGTCCTCGAGGCACCGGGCTAGGCAGAGCCTCCCGGGGCAGCGCCAGGGGATCCGGGCGGGGTGCGTGCGCCGGAAGGGCCTCAAAGCTGCAGGGCTGGACGGCGCTGGGGGCGCAAGGCACGGAGACCAGGCGGAGGGGACAGCTAGCGACTCACCGGGATGGGCGGGCCCGGCTCCCAGCTCCAAATACGCAGCCTCTGTGGGAGCTTGTCTCCAGGCGCCCATCAGTCTTCCCCCCACTCGGCGCTACCTTGGCGGCCGCGCCCATGCCGTCCCCGCCCCAACTAGTAGTCATGATGAGGGGTCGCGGGCCTCGCTCGAGATGCTCACTGCCAGGACTTTCCGCCTGCGGGCTCTCTGCGCGCACTCACTGACTGCCCGGCTGCGGGCGGCCGTCCTCACCACTCTGGGCTTCACGGGGCTGGGGCGCGCACCATGGAGTCGAACCAAGTCTTCCTGCTTTCCTAGAAAAGCCGCGGGGAGGGGAGAAGGGGAACACTTCTGGCCCACGTGAGCCACCGTCGCGCGTGGCGTCTGAGGGGCGTCTACCCGGAGTCACGGAGCCGACCAAAGGGAAAAGGCCAGTCCCTGTCCGGGAAGAGCTCAGCCTAGTGGGGCAGGCGACAAGTTACACTTGCTACCTTGCCATGGCCGTGGCCCGTGGAGGCAGTAGACCGTCACCAGGAGTCGGTCAGGAAAGACGGGCGGATACGTGAGGCCTGGACAGGAAGGAATTGGGAGACACAAGACTGTGCCGCCCAGACCGCTTTCGAGTCGGGCTCTCCGGGATTTGAATTCCTTTCTTCACTTACTAGTTGTGAGTCTTTGAGCAAATTTGCCTTTCTAAAGCATAGTTTCTTATTTATAAAACAGGGTTAACAGTTGCATTCACTGAGGTAAATACAAGAGAAAATCGATGTTAAGTGCTTATCACGGTACCCAACACATACCAAGTACTAGAAAATAATGGAGCTAGGTAGGGAGGGAGCAATCTTGACAGAGGGAACATCTGGTGGAATGGTCACAGGGCAGGAGGGCGGTGCCTGCATTCTTGGGGAACTGCAGGGAGTTCATGGCTAAATAATTGGAAGGAAAGGTAAGTACTTTACAGAAACCCTTCCCCAACTAGATCAGACTCCCCACTGTAGTATCATATGCCTCTCCTTTTAGGCACTTATTATGGTTGCAACTTTATTAACGATTCTAATTAGTTTCTCTTCTACAATTATAACCTCCATTAGTTTCTCTTCTGCAATTATAACCTCCATCCGGCCAGAGACTTGTCCATTTATGCTTACCCTGCTTTGTAGCACCCAATGCTTAACACATATTAAAAGCTCGATAATGTTGGGCGAAGTGGCTCACGCCTCTAATCCCAGCACTTTGGGAGGTTGACGCGGGTGTATCACGAGGTCAGGAGTTCGAGACCAGCCTGACCAACATGGTGAAACACCCTCTCTACTAAAAATACAAAAATTAGCCGGGTGTAGTGGCACATGCCTGTAATCCCAGCTACTCTGTAGGCTGAGGCAGAAGAATCACTTGAACCCGGGAGGCAGAGGTTGCAGTGAGCCAAGATTGCACCACTGCACTCCGGCCTGGGTGACAGAGCGAGATTCTGTCTCCAAAAAAAAAAAAAGCTCAGTAAATATTTATGGCACAAGTGGATAAATGGGGTTGCATCAGAATATGTATTTCACATTAAGGACTTTGGACTTCAGGCTGTAGTTGGAAATCACTGTGGAAATTCAGAGGGGGGGTGGCACTATCAGATTTGTTCTAAAGGAAGATCATTCCAGCTGCCCTGTAGAGAAGGGTTGGAATCAGGGAGGCATGTTAGGAGGCTGTGGTAATAGTACAAGCAAGAGATAATGGTGGCCTCACTCTAAGGGCATTAAAAATCAAGACAGGTGAGGCTGGGTGCAGTGGCTCACACCTGTAATCCCAGGACTTTGGGAGGCCAAGGCAGGCAGATCACCAGGAATTTGAGACCAGGCTGGCCAACATGGTGGAACGCTGTCTCTACCAAAACTACAAAAATTAGCTGGGTGTACCGGCTTGCACCTGTAATCCCAGCTCCTCAGGAGGCTGAGGCAGGAGAATCACTTGACCCGGGAGGCAGAGGTTGCAGTGGGCCAAGTTCATGCCACTGCACTCTAGCCTAGGCAACAGAGTGGAACTCCATCTGAGGAAAAAAAAAAAAGACAAGTGGACTATATTGGCAGATTATTGGCTAGTACTCACTTATTCTACCATAGTCATGCACTCGTTCCCTCAGGGATGGTAGTGACAGTCTTATTTCCTATTGATGCAGGATTTTTTTCCTTGATTCCTTCGTGGGACTCAGGAGGGGGCACCCTGTTTACTCAGCCCACTGCGCTCAGCCTGTAGCAGGCGTGTGCAGGTAAGCAAGTGAGTGCAGGATCTGGCTGGCCACTACC